AGAAAAATATGTTAGTTTTGGGATTGTATTCACTTTTCTATTGTTTTCAGAGAATTGGATTGTATGGATTATGTTTGGTTCAGTTTACAAAATGGTTTTTGATGTGTTGATAGATTTTTTTTGTCTTTGTAATTATAGAGTTCTGAAGTTTTATGTTATCAAATAGTACTGAATTAGTGTGGCAGTTAATTATACTATTAATAATGATGTTATATTTGAGATAAAATTGTTGTAGTATGTTTGAATGTGTTGCTCAATTTGTTGTAAGATTTTTTGTTTGTTTTTTGAGTCACAATTATGATATAGTGTTTTGTGATGGTTTTTTATTGTATTAATAGTAGCAGAGAGTTGGTTAGATTTGATATTGATCATGATGAAAGATGTGATAGGTAGGTTTGCTAAGAGTTGTATAGTTTGTATTTTTTGATTAATGCTATTAATAATTGCAATATTAGTTGAGTTATTATTATTGGAAGTGTGTTTGAAATTTATAAGAGTTTGAAGTATGCTGCCACAGATGTTTAGTGCAGTATGTGTTTTTGAAGCAGTAGATGAAAAGTTTTGAAATTGTTTTTGAGAACTAAAAGTAAAGGGTATATGTGTGTTTGCTATAGTAAGTACTGTAAATTAGATTTGGTGTCAGAGTTGATTTGTTGTAAGTGCAGGGGCTGCTACTTCAGTAAGAAAAGATAAAAGTTGATAACTTTTTTGCTGAAACTGCTCCTATAGTTTATTGGTTATAGAGTTATATTTAAACATTTTATATTTGTATTTTTTGTGTCATTTGCTAGTTTGATTTGTATTTAAAAATTAGTATAATATTGGAAGTTGTAAATATATATAAGATTTGTTGTGGGATTCAGACTTCATCAATTTGGCTAGAGAGATTGTTGCATGTCCAGGTTGGAGTATTAGAATAATAATTATATATTAAAGAAATAAAGTTGTATGATAGAAGATATTTATATAAATAGAGCATGATGGAATATTCAACTACAACACCATATTACAAACTTTACTAAAAGACTTAATTTACCTAACTTTTTGGAAATTAGTACTCACATTAGACTCCAACAATTTCAAAATAATTTATAGTTAACCACTAGTATTTTAATACATGATAATCCTATTATTGATTGTTCTAACAAATACACAGTTAATTTTAAGATTATTCAACTTTTTAAACATCTTGGTGTAATGTTACATCTAACCTACTATACAATATTCCATGCATTATTCAAGAGGACTCTATCTCACTTGAATCACTATTGTCTTCATATTCTAAATATATAACATTCAAGAAACAACTCAGACATTATGGTATTTTATATTTAGACCAACTTACTATATTTGACAACTTATGTTTCCTTGACTAGAAACATATTTCATTACATATAAACAAAATTTCTAAAGGCAAACAACCTTTCTGGTTTACCTATTTGGAGGACCAAGTTACAAGTCATTCTTACAACCTTACTCTTTATCAACATTTATATTTACTCAATGCAAACTACTATAGTTATACAACTGAACATTTTTTTTTACAGAAAAAACTATGGCTTATTACAGCTCTTGACAATGAAATTATTATTAGCAAAGCTAGAAGACAGCTCTCACTATCTGAAACTGTTCTTATAACTCATTGGCAATGCTACATAGAACTACAATTTACTTACCTCTATCCTCTCTCATCTATTCAATCAAATGCATGCCCAGACTATTATTTTAATTCTTACACAATAGCTAACAAATGTACAATTATTATTCTTATTAATGTTTCAACAAAATTTTATGGTCAAGTTAATACATACAACAAGACTCTTAACTTTAATACCAACCATCTTAACCTTATATATTCTATTGGAATTAGACATCCTATTCAAACTTCAAATACTTCTAACATTACTATTAGAACATACTCAATTCCAAATATCTTTGAATACAGTTTATTTATAAACAACCTTCAACAAATTGCTAACTATAATTTCAACTCATCAGAACTTCACTTTTAGACAGATGGCTCAGTTATAAACTTAGATATCTCACAATGCTCAATGGGTATCAGATGGGCTCAAGTTTCAAATGACTCTATACTTTATACCTTCTAAGCTCAAACTAAATACTGGCCTTGCTCATTCAATTTTAAGCTTATTGCTATTCTATCAGCCCTTATTACTGCTCTTAGAAATTGTACTATAAACATATATATAGACTTACCATCTGTAATCTCTAAATAGAATAGTCTTTCAAACTCAACAACAACTATATTATACACTTATACATCATACTTCTTACTATGGAACACACTTATCAACTTCATTAAATTATATAATATTTATATTATTTTTTACAAAGTTACTGCTCATCAAAATGATAAATATAACAATCTTGCTAACCAACTAGCATGTAACCATTACAACCTGCTATACCTTATTTTTACACCTTATAGTACTTAAACTTAGCTTATACTTTAACTTTTGAGAATTTCTCCTTAGAGTTACCTATTCATTGCAGCATTCATACAATATGTTATACACATATATATGCACTTTGGATAACATAAAACTGTTTTCAAAAATATCATAAAATTCTTAACCAAGTTAATTGGCAAGCCACTTGGCTCTACAGTACCAATAATCAAAAAATCTCCAACTTTTCTTATAGCTTTCAGTCTTTTACTCTTAAATTCTTTAGAATTAAAATCCTATCAGATAAACTTCCTACTCCACATATTCTATACAAATTCTATTTCTCATACTTATCTATTTGTTACCAATGTTACCAAATTAGTTTACATCTTTACTGGACAACTTGTCCATCCAGTCAACTATTATTTAATCTTATTAATATCTTATTACAACATACTCTCAACTTAAATACACTTGATTCTATATTTAATAATATAACCAACTTATATTACCAAATCAAACTACTTCATAGCATGACTATTCATAATAGATCTGATGTACCATCAATTTTTTCAATTCTAACAAGCTTAATATCAAATAAACTCATTGACACTATTGCAAATTTGCTTCCAAAAAAGTAACTACTACACTCTTTATAAAGTTTTTACTCCATCTTAACAATAAATCTATCACAAAATCTGGATTCTATACTGTATTTCAAGATCTATAACCCAACTTCAAAATTATATTTCGTTATTAAATTCTATACCTTCTGTATTACACATTCCTCCTTCTAATTCAATTAGTTCAAAAATTAATTCTTTGTATATCCAATAGATCAAATATCAAACTAATTCCCTATATATTATTACTAACACTCAAATCTAGGTGAGTCTTGGCTACTCCAGTTGGTTTAGGTCACAGATAAATTAGTCTGAGCTTCTATTTTTTCTATAATATTTTAAAAGTAGATTAGTACTTTATATAAAATCTCAATTAAACATTTAATAAAGATAGAGGTATGGCCTCACTATTAATATTTAAAAAAAAAAGATTATTAATTATAAACTAAAAAATTATTATATAATTTTAATACTTAAATTTTAAATTATAATTTAGTAATATCTAAAATTTAATTTAAAATTAATTGTATTCTTATAACTAAATATTTTTTTAATTTTTTTTATCAACTTTTTATTTAATAAAATTTTAGATATTTGATGTTAATTTTAAAAATAAGATGCTATTATTGATGAAGTATTATAATAATTAAAATAACTTTACAATTTGTTATATAACAATAAATTTTTCTATTAATAGATTAAGAAAAAAATTTTCAAACAATTGATGATTTTGGTTTAGTCAAATTTTTAAAAATTTTTATAGATATCAAATGTTCCAAAGATGTATTCAAATAAACTTCTTGATTAGTTTGATTAGTTTCAATATTACTATTATTAATCATTTGCAAGCAATTTTTTTTATAAATACTATTAGTCTTATTATCATAATAATCATTAACAAAATATTATCATCAGAGAAGACTAATTTTCACTAAATCTATTATATTCAGATAATATATCTAACTGCTTTTCAAGTTGTAGTTTTTTGCTTAAGTTATATTAATATAAATTTTTTTTGATTTTTAATAGTCATGATAGTTACCAATCAGAAGTTTATTTATAAAAGTTTAGTACAGACAATATACAAATATAACTTTATCTAATTCCTATTTCATCATCATACAGTTATCCTAATTGACATCTATGAATGGCTACCAAACCAGAACTACTAAAGTCTGGATTGAGCTTATCTGTCTATCACCCTATAATTGAACAATACCAATCTAATATCATTCATTTGTAGGAAAGTAAAAAACTTCTTGTTGAGAAGGAATACACTAAAAAAAATGTGTATAAGGGAGAAACATAAAAAAACTAAATATCAAAAATCAAAAGAGAAGAAGGGTGCTGACAAAGACTAAACAAACAGTCACTAATTATAAAGACTGTGTCAGCCTACTAAAAAACCATACCAATATAATAAGAAGCAAAAAAACATACATATATAAATAAATTGATCAATAATTAATTATTTAAGCAATAATATTTATTTATTTATGTAAAATTAAGAAACAATCTTAAAAATTAAAGATAAACTTAACACTATGATTTGACTGGGCATAAACTATAGACTTAAAATTTAATAAAACAATATGCCTTATATTTAATAAACATAAAGCCATCAAGAAAATTAAGCGTAAGAATCTTAAAGATTTACAGTAACTTGTGAAATAGATGGCTAAGTACAAACTAAAGGCTGAGCTAAATGACTCATAAAGTTTAAAAACAAAAGTGCTATTTTAAAATAATAAAATAATTTGAAAATAAGCAAAAAGTTTGTTATTATTAAAACGATTGTAAGCTTAGAATCGATTCTAATTCAATAATCGCTTCAAAAATATGTGATCGTTTCTAGAAACGATTATAACGATTACACAAAAATGAGAATCGATTAAAATTCGATTAACGATTAAAACGATCATCCATATAGTATGCATTAATAATTGCAATATTAGGCTGGACGTTGGGCATGAACATTGAATCTTTGTCCTATCTAGTTCAATCCATTGCTGGATCCTTGTCCAGTTTAGTTCAACGAATTGAAATTGACATGTTTAATATGACATTACAATGATTTTTGTACATATACTAACGACTTACAGTAATAACCTGGTCATTAAATGTTGACCAAATGAACAGGTCACTTACTGAAACTGTGTTAAGAAAATTACAAATGTCTCTTGCAAAATAACATTCATGATTATAATAAATTTTGTTTCACGCAATTACTTTATTACTCATCATATATTCAGGAATCACGAATTAGACAAAAAAATTCCATTTTAATTTACTTCTAACATCCTTAATACTTTCCATTACTGGATAATAATTATTTGCATTTCCCTGTGACAACTTACCTACTTCAATTACATGCCAATTGCCTATAGTCAGCAAAAAGAAGTAAGGACTTATTAAAAATAAAACCTTATAACAGTAAAAGGTTAAAGTTAAAAACTTACCATGTGATCGATTAATAAGACACATTATGACAGCTTGTGAATCGTTAGCTTTATGTAAATTATAATTGCATAGGCACTTATTCGGTCTTGTTTGGTCATATAACTTAAAGCTTGGATTACGAAAGTGACTAATTGTTGGAGAGTTCCATGAACTTAAGACTAAATAAAGTTGTGTTACACCTTTAAGAAGACTATCGAGTTTCGCTGTAATACTATGATGTCCTGTAGCTATGAGTGATGAGTAATTTAAAATTATTAAATAAGCATGAAAATGCAATCTACAATGAGTTATACAAACCATTTTTCTTATCTAAGACATCACCGGAATGCCGGATATATGATATATCAGAATGAAACTTATTTTTGTAGTCGTATTTTTTCCATAATTTATCACCTTCATATATCAAACAGGTGCCATCAAGAAAGTCCAATCCAGAGTCAGGATAACTCCAATATAAATCGAATGCTAAGTTTTTTATAGATTCTTTCTTTGAGATAGAATAAAGTACGACGATAAGTTGAATATGGCTATTTGCGCAGATTCCATATTTTGTAAGCTTATTATCAGGTTCACCCTGTATATAGAAAATAGAAAATAATAAATAAGGTAATTAATATAAAAATTATAAAAACTTTAATAAAGAATAAATAAATTACCACATTAAGTTCAACGTTTTTATAGATTAACATTTGTCTATCAAAATTTATCTTTGTATAATCCATTAATTTATATTTTAACTTTTTAACTGTATTAGTTTCAGATAGATTAAATTCAATCTTTTCTCCATTTAATCGAACAACATAAAATATTTCAGAATTTGTATTATTTTGTCCAGAATGTTTGGTATTTGTTTGTAAGTGACTTTCGAAATCAATTTTAAAGTTTGCATTGTCCCAAAATAAGCAATATTCTTCAAATTCTTGTTCTGTTAATTCAGCTTTGCATATAGGACATCGATGTTGATGCTGTGTTTTTCTCAGGTAGTTTACAAGACACTAACAAAAAGGCAGACATAAGTAATATAAATGACATATTTATACATATTATTAAAGATAACATACCTTTAAACACCAAGATGTGAAATGTTCACATTTGGAACCAATTGTACTATGTGGAAATTCTTCTGAAAGTTTATCAGTTTTGCACTTTACACATTTCATTATTACTGTAAGTTATAAGAATTAGTAAATTTCATTTTGCCAAATTTCTACAAATGATCATGTACTAATTATACGTAAACATGCAGATATTTACTTATTTATACGAATAATGGAATCGGAGTAAACTGTCCGATATAGATTAATAGATTAATAGCTGTTTTTATTTTTTTATTCTAATAGAAACTCAATCAAATTTAATAATTTTTTTAAAATTAATTCTATAAGGTTGTAAAATTTATTTAAACAACTTATTATCGAGTTTGTTCTATTGTTATTATATTATTAATTTATTTCTAACTCAGTTTTGCTACTAAAATTAGGTATGTACATTCAGCATGAGAAAAGACATTCACAAATTCTAATTTTAAAATATTCTATCACGCTTTACAGAAAATGTTACAATGTTTTAATTACGTTATTTAATTAATATTATTTAAGTAGCACAATTGTTTTTTTTTCATAAAGCATAATTCTTACATTTTTTTCAAGCAATACTTTTAGCAAAGTTGTAAAATGATGTTGAAGCAATGCATGTTATGACTTGGCAAAAAAAAATTTTTGGGGGTAATACTGCAACCACATTAATTCTATGAATTTTAGTTTTGACGTCGACTATAGATTAGACCGCATTTTTGAAGTATTTTAATGTTAACTACCACATACTAAATATAATCTTTAATTAAATGATAAATATTTATAAATAAATAAATTCAATTATATATACATTCAGATCTCTCAAATCTCTCTAAATATACAGTCAAACCTCTATATAATCACACCCTTCGTTTTAAGAATTTGGTGCTATATAGAGAGTTGATGCCTATATGGAGGTTAAATTTTATAAGCGTTATATAAGTTGGTTTTAAAATTTTGTGATTATAGTCAAATATGACTATAGAGGAGGTGACTATAGAAAGGTCTGACTGTAATAGTCAACTGTTTATTGCCAGCAATTTCGCCAACAAGTTGGCCTAATATAAGTTTAGGTTAGTACGATTTATATGTAGTGATGATAAATGTAGATTGCTGGTTCTACCAGATCCCTAATTGATTTAAATTATAATTATTCCAAGATTTGTTTTATCTGATAATTTTCGATCAACAACGTAGTAGAATAAAAATACCCTAAATTCGCCTTCAACGACTTTACAGCTATCATATATATAATTTTATCTACTACTTTCCACTGACAGAAGGTCATAATATAATAGGTGTAAATGGACTTCAAGATATATTATTTTAATGACCAAAAGTGAACTCGTCTTTCTCTAATCAAATTAATTTTCAACTTACAGTTCCAATAAAATCTTTGATATTTTCCATTATAGGGCGATAATCCCGAACGGTTCCTTGTGATAATCTACCTACTTCAATTACTTTCCACTTACCTATAATCAAAAAAATTCTAAATATAACCCTTTAAAATAAGAAAGTCTAGCATTAAAAACTTACCATGACATGATCGATTAATAAGACACATTATAACAGCTTGTGACTTTTTAGCCTTACATATTTTGTATTCACATAACTGATTATTCGGTCTCGCTTCATCATATAATTTAAAACTTGGATTCCGGAAATGTTCAATTGTCGGAGAAGAATATGAGCTTAATATTAGATAAAGCTGCGTGACACTAGGTGGAAGCTGATTGAGCTTCGCTTTTATTTTTTGATGCCCTATAGCTGTAAAGATGACTTAGCATTATTAAAAATGTATCTACAATGAGATATAATATTAAGACAAACCATTTTTCTTATCTAAGACATCACCGGAATGCCAAATATATGATATATCAGAGTGAAACTTATTTTTGTAGTCGTATTTTTTCCATAATTTATCACCTTCATATATCAAACAGGTGCCATCAAGAAAGTCTACACCTGAAGCGGGATAGCCCCAATATAAATCGAACACTAAATTTTTTAAAGAATCTTTTCTCGAGATAGAATAAAGTACGACCATAAATTGAATATGACTATTTGCGCAAATTCCATAATTTGTAAGTGTATTTTCGTAGTCTTCCTGTATAAAAAAATCATGAATAAAATAATTAAGACAACAATTATTAAAAAATATATTACTCACATCGAGTTCAATGTTTTTATAAGTTAACATTTGTTTAACAATATCTATCTTAGTATAATTCATTAATTTATATTTCAACTTTTTGACTGTATTAATTTCAGAAAGATTTAATTCAAATTTTTCTCCATTTAATCTAGCTACGTAAAAGATCCCGGAATTATTTCCAAAATTTGTATTATTTTCTTCAGGGAGTTTGGTATTTGTTAGTAAATGACTTTCAAAATCAATTTTAAAGTTTGCATTGTCCCAAAATAAACAATATTCTTTAAATTCTTGTTCTGTTAATTCAGCTTTGCATATGGGACACTGATGATCCTGCGTTTCTCTCAGATGATTTACAAGACACTAATACGTAAAAATATAATGTAAATAATATAAATAGCATATTTATGCATATTATTAGAAGTATTATACCTTTAAGCACCAAGATGTGATATGTTCACACGTGGAACTAATTGTACTAAGGGGAAATTCTTCTGAAAGTTTATCAATCTGGCACTTTTCACATTTCATTATTAAAAATTTAAGAATTGTTGAAAATTAAGTTGGCTTATTTATAATATAAAAATTTTTTAAATTTTTTTGTTTTACTAATTAATATACAAAATGCGAATCATATGTTACATTTACGTAATTATTTTACAAGGTGAAAACTCGCGTCAGAGATACGTAGTTACGGGCTTTGCCGATAATACAAACTCCTAAAAAGGAAATATCCAATCAAATTTTGATCGTTCCGGATCATTCCGACATGAATTCCGAACACGTGTAAAAGAAATTCCGACATGGATTCCGAACACGTGTAAAGGAATGAAAAGCGAAAGTACTCAAAAACTATTGATAGAATCGGCCTCAGTGCATTAATTAAAAATGTCAAGACTAAATTTTACATATAACTGACAACAGTATATGGCTATAGCTTCTAATATTAACGTTCTAACCTGTGTTTTTACACACTTTATTTACAAAATCAATTTTCCTTTTTTGGGGCACAAATAAGTGAATCTCGTACGTAGTTACGTTATTGATTCACATCATTACCTAAATTAGTATCTAACTCTAATTTCGTATAATTTTTTTATATATCCCTGAGAAGTAATGATCGCCTTATTGTATCGTATCCTACGTTTTTGTGTGTAAGAGGATATTTGACGATTACGCAAATTTGACTATCTGGTATGTACAAACAGATTTATTTTTTTTCGTAAAAACGTATTTTGTATAAGTCAATTAATAAACAGATGTTAAAATTTTTCAAAATATGCATAAAAAATATGAGTGTCGCTAAGGAAAAACCAGAAATTCTAAAAATAGATTTATTAAAGAATTTCATAATAAACCTATTTTTATAATTGCGGGTTTTTCCTTAGCGACGCTCATATGTAATTTGATTGTCTGAACATCTCAGGATCAAAGATCGATTATATAGTACTAAAAATCATTTAGCTTATATTCAAGTTTGCGTTTTGTCAGAATTTTTTTAAA